CCCCTACCTCACCCCTCTTCCTCCCCCACGGCTCACGCCCGCCCCGTCAGACCCCGCCTCCGGCGCCCCATCCTGGCTGCGACCCTTCGCGCCGCGCGCAGTCCGTGTGCCGGCGCCTCTGCCGACGCCACGGGGGAAGCTCGGGCCCTCAGCCAGCGCAGCCCGCCGCCGCCGCCGCCGCGCACCCAGGTCGCGGTGAGGCGCCAGGCCGCTCTTCTCCCGGATCTTCTCCTCACACAGCACCAGCCGCACGCCCACCCGCGCCATGCTTTCAAACGGCACGCACGGGCGCCCGCGCCTGCGCAGTGGGGCCCCGAGGGCCGCAGGGCGGGGCCAGGGGCGGGGCGGGGCCTAGAGGGCGGGGCCAAGGACCGCTGGGGCGGGGCCGAGGCCGCGGGGAGGAGGGGAGCTGGACCGGCGGGGCCACTGGCAGCAGGTTGCGGTGAGTCTGAGCCGCCCAAGGCCCCAGGCGGCGACCCCGGCCTCAGCTCCTGCCTGCTCTGCCCACACTGCCTGTGGGGCGCTGCTGCCTCCTGGGCACAATGCCCTCCCCGGGAAAGCCTGCGTGCCCGTGGGGGCCCCGCCCCGCCTGGACACCCACCCCACCTAGAAACCCTGCCCCACCTGGGGACCCACCCCACCTGGGGACAGGCCCCCGCCTGGAGACCTCCGCCCCACCTGGACACCCCGTCCCACCTGGAGACCCCACCTGCCCCAGCCTTGCCCGCGCTGTGGACGCCAGGTGGTTCCACCCCGGACCCCTGCACATGGGGTCGCAATGGTCTCACACCGCGGTCACTCGGCACAGCCAGTTCTCCTCTGTCCCTGTCCTCAACTTCCCCGCGACATCTGGGGTCCGACCTTGTGTCTTACCCTCTGACCAGGAGATTCGTGGCCTGTCAGTCCCTCTGGGCCCTTTATGGAGCATCCTGAGCAGCATCTGAGATCTGCAGGGTTTGGGGAAGTCCTCATTCCAGATCTAAATCTGCCCCACCCAGCAGGAACCCTGGGGGTACTCCCTCCCTCCTCCGACTCCTGGTGTCTGGGGTCCGCTGCTACCCCCCACCCAAGATTTGACCAGCTTGTTGGTAACGTCCTCCCTGGTATGTCATAGCCTAGGTGGTGGTAGCACGGGGGCGAGCGTACCAGGTGTAGACAGGGGATGTAGGGCAGGGGCTGTAAGACAGCAGGTTTACACAGGGGGTATAGGGGAGGTATAGACAGCAGGTGTAGACAGGGGATGTAGGGCAGATGTAGACGGGGTGTAGGGCAGGGGGTGTAGGGGAGGGATTGGGAGTCTACACAGGGTGGTGGGGTGCAGGGTGGAGCATGCAGGGTACCCAAATCTCTCCTGAGCATTGCTGAGCTTCAAGCCTGAGGCACCAGGCCTCACTGGGCCCCTGTGCCAAGTCGTTTATTGAGGCTGGTGCACACTCAGTAATACTTTAAGATTGCCGTGTAACTGACACAAACTTCCAGTCCAGTACTGCCCGGCGTTCCCCTTCCTGGAGACCGTGGAGGGGTACGGGCACATCCCAGGCAGACGTGTGGTCACCACACTTGGTGTCTGCCAGTGATAACCTTGTGCAGCCGGGAGACTTGGAGGCAGAGAACAAATATCCTGGCTTCTCAGAAGCAAACAACCGCAAACAAAGGCTTCTGTCGGCCACTTCTGAGAAAAGGAGCTTGTCAGGGCACATCCCACACTCCAAACACCAGCTGCTTCCTCCTGCCCAGCGGGGTCGCTCAAGGTCAGGCAGCCCAGTCTGGAGGCCACTGGAAAGCGGACCTCCATGCATGTCCTGTGGGACAGCTCCACACAGGGTCGGTGTTTCTATTGTAACGGAAGTGCCAATAAAAGCTTCAAAAATCATGGTTTCTGCTTACTAAAGTATTGCACATCCATTGTAGAAAAGATGCAAAATACAGAAGAACTAAGATTATGTATTCTACCACACAGACATAGCCAATGTTAGCATTTTCACACATGTCCTTCAAGTATGTTTTCTAAGCCTGTATATATTTTACAATAATGAGATTACGCTAGGCATTCTCATATGTATAAATACACTTTTTTTACTTTTTATGAACATTTTCTTATGTTACCAAATATTCTTCAACATCATCTGTTAAACATCATTTTTAATGATCACATTAGGTCACGAACTAAACCCAGATTTGTTTAACCCATCTTCTGTTGCTGCACCTTCCTTCTGTTTCCACTTTTTTGTAGTACTAAGTCTGGTTGGGTTTTGTTCTGAAGTTCCTTTGGAGTGAGGCGGGAGTGTCTGAGCCTGGAGCTGGGACCAGGAAACCCAGAGCAGGAAGGATTGACGTGAAGTGGAGGCAGGGTGTGGGGGCCCTGAGCGGGGCTGCAGCAGGGGACGCTCTGGGGAGATAGCAGGAACTGCATGTGCGTCCTCTCCCGAGTCCAGTCACATCTGACTGCGTTGGGTTGGGCTTCGCTGAATCGGGTATTGGACAAGCGTGTGAGAGGGATTGATGAGACTCACAGAAGGGACCTAGCCGTCCAACCTCAGCACTCCACCCAAGGGATATCCCCAGGAGTGCTGCCTTTCCAAGGCTGTGGAGGCCTCTGTCCAGCTCCTCACACACTTCCAGCCTCCCAGGGAGGTTAAGACCTGGAGAGGCGCTATGGGGCCAGCAAGAGGAGGAGGGGGCTTCATTGGAGAAGCTTTGGGGGAGCCCGGGCCACCGTGTGCCGGACTCGGGAGTGGAGAGGCCCCCTGTGCATGGAGCAGCCCTCCACAGAGTTCTAGAACATTCCACGGAGGCTTCCAGGCTCCTCAGCCTCGATCCTCAAACCTGTGGGAGTCAAACCACAGGGTCAATCCATCCCTAGAGGTGAGGCCAGGGGAGACAGGAAGACCAGAGGACCGGCCCACGTTCTGGGCGCTGGCGGCCTGGGATGTCTCTGGACTTTTTCTAAACTATGACTGTCCTTGGCCAGGAAGGGGTGGGGGTGGGAGGAGACCTGCAATATGCTCAGAAGGAAAACGGGCGGTTTCCCAAATGCACACTCACTCTCACATTTACACACACATTCGCACAACACTCACACACACTCACACTCACATGCTCACTCTCTCACCCCAACACAAACCTCCAACGCCAGCGCACAGCCAGAGCTCCAGCTCCATGGCCTTTCCTGGCCAGTCACGGGAGCCCACCCTTGTTCACTCGGGAGGCACCTCTGAGCGGCCAAGTGCTCGGTGGCTCAGCCCCTACACTGGACACAGTGGATGCTGTATGAGCTGGTCAAGGACAGCTGCTGGCTTTGCTGTGGTTACACTTCCTTCTTGTGCTTGTCCACTCATAAATGTCGAACAAAAGTGCCCTTTCCCCAGCCGTGTTTGTCAGAACATCAACATCAATACAGTGGTCCCCTCTTATCCACAGTTTCACTTTCCACAGTTTAAGTTACCTGTGGCAACCTCTGTCAAAAATAATAAATGGAAAATTCTAGAAATAAACAATTCATAAGTTTTAAATTGCATGCCCTTCTGAGTATCGTGATGAAAACTCGCACTGTCCGGTTCCATTCCACCCAGGACGTGAATCATCCCTTTGTGCAGCAGGTCCACGCTGTATACACTACCCACTGTGAGTCACTTAGGAGCCTTCTACGTTATCAGATCGACTGTCGAGGCATTGCAGTGCTTGTGTTCAAGGAACCCTTATTTTCCTTAATAACGGCCCCAAAGCACAAGAGTAGTGATGCTGGCAACATGAATCTGCCAAAGAGAAGCCACCAAGTGTTCCTGTAAGTGAAAAGATGAAAGTTCGCAACTTAATAAGGAAAGAAAAGCCCAGCCCTGTGGAGTAGTGGTTAAGTGCGCGCGCTCCGCTGCTGGCAGCCTGGGTCCAGATCCCAGGCGCGCACCGATGCACCGCTTGTCAGGCCATGCTGTGGCGGCGTCCCATATAAAGTGGAGGAAGATAGGCACAGATGTTAGCCCAGGGCCAGTCTTCCTCAGCAAAAAGAGGAGGATTGGCATGGATGTTAGCTCAGGGCTGATCTTCCTCACAACAACAAAAAAAGGGGGCGGGGCCTGCCCGATGGTTTAGCGGTTAAGTGCGCACGCTCCGCTGCTGAGTCCCAGGGTTCGATCCTGGGCAAGCACCGACGCACTGCTTGTCAAGCCATGCTGTGGCGGCATCCCATGTAAAGTGGAGGAAGATGGGCGCGGATGTTAGCCCAGGGCCAGTCTTCCTCAGCAAAAAGAAGAGGATTGGCAGATGTTAGCTCAGGGCTGATCTTCCTCACAAAAAAATAAAATAAAATAAGGAAAGAAAAAAAAGTATGCTGAGGTTGCTAAGATCTATGGTAACTTTTATTACAGTATATTGTTATAATTATTCTATTTCATTATTAGTTATTGTTGTTAGTGTCTTACTGTGCCTAATTTACAAATTAAAATTTATCATAGATATGTATGTATAGGAAAAAACACAGTCCATAGAGGGTTCTGTGCTATCTGCGGTTTCAGGCATCCACTAGGGGTCTTGGAACAGATCTCCCTCAGATAAGGGGGGACTACTGTATTTGTAAATTGTCAATACATCATTTTGCCAACTAACCTCTTTCCAAAGTGTGAGATTAGTTGGAGTGTGAGGCCCTGTCTGCCTCTCTTTAAGATGAACACCATCGAGGGTAGGTTTGGGGGCTCATGTTAACATCTTAACATCATCACTAATCTTAACACAGAGCACAGGGTCGTGCTTTCTCTGCTTTGTCCAGAATAACAGGGCATGCCTCATGCAGCTCAGTCAGTGATGTGGATGAGGAAGTGGGAGATCTTAAGGCAAGCTAGTGGGACAGGCTGTGGGGTGGCTGGGCCCTGTGGCTGGAGAAAGTTTGAGCTGTGTCTTTGCTTTGGGTTGAAGCAGGTCCATCGGTGTCTCGGTAAGCACTCACTGCACGTGACTCTGCTCCTTATTCTGGGAAGGTGAGATTTCAGAATGAGTGGGACAAGGCCTCCACTTGCAGGACCCACAGCTCTAGCGGCTTCCCTAGGCGACAGGGGCCTGGTCTCTGCAGGCAGGAGTCCCCTTCCCCTGGTGATGGAAGGCACACGCTCAGCCTGGAGACATGCCCTCATGGGTGATCACCACAATGGATGTCTCCAAACTCTGAGCCAAGACAGGACCACAGCATCAATGTGGAGAAGGGAACCGGGCAGGAAGCAGCCGCGGGCCTACCTGTGGAGTATGGCGGGCAGGGGGGTTGTTTCACCTGTGAGTGTTTGCAGACATTTTTATCTGGTTGAAGTAT